ATGTGCTGCAGGTGAGAAGGTGTACATGCTATTAAATGGCACGCTGCCATCAAAGGAGACTCTTGTGGTGGTTTTGTTGTGGTTCGCAAATGGAAGCCAGTTTTCTGAAACTTGGGCCCAAGTTTTCCAGCAGCTTCTGAAACGACTCTTGATCGTCTTCAGGAAAAGCGATGTCATCTAGATCGGAGAGGTCGTCAGCGTCTCCTTCTTCTGCATACGAATGGGACTCATTGGGCATCTCAGTTTCGGCGTCATCGAGAGATAAAAGCCTCTGTAGGGAAAATATCAAAACAAAAAAAATTTGTGCATATCTAGATGACTCTTTTTTAGACAATCACTTATAGAGAAAAGCATTGCCATTTTTTCTTTCATAAAATGTACTTAAGTATTAAAAGCAAAAGGATTGAGTAAAAGTGAGCAGTTTGATTTTTCAAAATTACATTTATTGGGAGGTGATCTCCCCAAAAATATTTTCTCTAAAGACTAAAAGGTCTATTAAGTATATATTGTGCAGCTGTGATGGATTGTGTATAAAGTAACACTGTGTCAGAATATGTATTTATACATTTCATCCAACCACGAGTCACAATTTATCTGGATAGTTTTTTTAACAATAACAAGCCGAAAAGAGAACAAGCTATAATGAAATAGGACTAATGACTTTCTACTTCTTGCCTATTTGAAAAACATAAGAAGTAGAAGGTAGGCAGAAAATAATTAATAAAGTACAGATAATCAAAAATTCTACTTAAGTACAGCAACAACCTATTTGTACTTACTTACTTTACAACTCTGCTTGTTTTGATCTTCTGCTACCCCCAGGTGCATTGTGCAGAAGCATCGTTACAACAAAGAAATGTTCTACCAAACAAAAATTTTATTGTTTTTGTGCTACGTTTATTTATATAAAAATAATGCATAACCTACGATGATATGTTTAATGTTGAGGAGATTGGTTTTATTCAGGGAACTAGATTTTTGAGTTTTATTTGTAATTCTAACAAAGATTTTTTTCTCCTAATTGCTCAAAAACAACTTTTTTGTTTTTTATTTGAAGGTTTTACTAACCCTAAATAGCTAGGGGAAATTACAGATGCACACCATGCCATACAGTAACTTGTGACTCAAACATAAATCTGYCTGGCTAAGGGAGGGGGGGTATTGCCCTCTTGTACATCTCATGCTTTCTTTTGTCAGTGTTGAGCACTGTGTGTAGAGAAACACTAACCTGTTGAACTAGAGCTGTCAGATGTGGGTAAATACAGTTCCAATGGTAAAGGGCATTCTTTGCTTCCATGTCTTCACACTGTAAGAAAAGTGACAGTTTTWTCAGCTTGTGACACAAAATAACACAACGTAAGCAACAATTTTAACAAATTTACCCAGTAGGCAAAGGATCTCTGAAAGTCCCAGCTCTAAAGACACAGAGAAGATTAAATAAAATTAATATGTAAATGTTCAGAAGTGATGCACTGGTTTTTAATGTGTGTATTACCTTACTACTGTGACAGATAAATGTTGACTTTGTAAACCTAAGCTATCCATGCCTCTTCATATTAGGCGTTTGGCCAGATGCAGATTGATTTGGCGGTTTGACAAAATTTCTGTGATTGTTTTGTTTGTGTAATAATTAATTTGTGAATGATTTATAGTTTTCTCTTGTACCCACCGTTGACTCAGATTGGTTCTGCATGACCAATGAGTCATAATTGTGGAGCCTTTGATTTAGGAACACAACTGGGCCATCATCTATTAACTTTACAAGAAAAACAAATGGTTAGTGGTTTTCACCCTGGAATAAGTCTCATGCAAATATTTTTTCCAGTGTAATCTTGCTTCACTTCATTGTTTTTCATGTACAGAGATTAACTTGTGAATGGTTTCCAGTTTTCTTGTACCTACAATTCGTCTAATGTTAAATTGCTTCTGTTTCATCAGTGAGTCAAGATCATCAAGCTTTTGGTTGTTGGGCAAAAATGGCACAGCATCTTCTACCTTTACAAGAAAAAGAAATGGTCAGTTATATTCCCACTGAAATATGTCTCATATGTAAATGTTTCTTAGATGCAACCTTGCAGTCTGTTCCTTGTTTCTCATCATTGTATATCTCAAGACTTCCTTTTTGTTGAACTTCTTGTTGAATTTCTGTGAACACTTCACAGGACATGACAAATGCCGCCAGCAGCAGAGCTGTCAAAATACACACAACAGGACTTGTACACAAGGAAAAGAATGGTTTGCTMTAAAACTGAACAAGGAACTGTGCTTCCATTCCTTACCCAATAGTAAAGCCAGCACAAGGAACGCTATGACAACAGCAACCCCACCAGATGCTGTCTTACTAACTCGATCCTGGCAGTTGCGTGATACCAAGCATGTGCACACAGTCACATTAAGTCTGTGAACACTAAACACTCCCTGCAGGTCTGAAATCTTCAGATCAATTGTGTAAAAGCCAGCCCCAATACTAGGCTCCTTCACCAAACCAGCTGTGAAACCTAAAA